TGGGCTGTCATCTTGACTGCTCGGCCATTCGGCTGTGTTTTAACTCCCTTGTAACGAACTAAGATTTCATACAATAAAGAATTGAATTATTTGGCTCGATATTATAAGCAGAGAACAAAAAGTCTGAAATATTAAAATTTCAAAACCTATTTGCATCTAAGGCATAATACAATTAATTCTTATCAAAAGTTTTTATCCACTAGAGGTCGTTTTGTGATCCGTCATGCTTTGCGAACTATCATGTTCATTGCAAAGCACAGTAAAGGTTTGTGTATGTAAGTGTTCCTATGTTAATTGCTATATAAAATACAAAAAAATTTATAATTTGAGTATGTATATATAAGTAATTGATTTAAATGAAATAGTACATTCAAACATTTAATATACATAGTAATTAAAAGTTTTTCGAATAGCTGATTATTATTATTATTTACAAACTTGATTAGATTCATATCTATTTTGGGTTGAAGTTACTTTGAGGTAATTTGTGTAAAAATATATTTGCATATAAACACATTACTAAAAGGAAGTCATGAAAATTATTTATTTCAGCAAATATTTTCATTTACGTTTAATGATAAATAATGTATTCTATTTTGAATTATAACATTGTACTTTATGGATTTTATTAGATTAAAATCCTGTAATTTTATTTAAATAGTTTTTTTAATTATGTATAAGTATCTTACTTTATATTTTTCATTGAAAAAAGATTAAATTAAAAATTGATAAAAATATAGTCATTAAAATATAATTTTTAGAATCTTGCTGTGTATACAAATATTAATTGTCATTAATTAATATAATTAATATATAATAATTAACAATATAATGCATTAATTGTCATTATATATTTTGTTCTACATGTATTGATGATAGCCTTCTAAGATTGTAGATTCTTAATGAAACAAACAAACAGATTTTAAAATAACTGGATTAAATCACTCATATTTCAGAAATATTAATTCCAAAGTTCTTTTTACACCTGTTGCTTATTTTTACATATCTGCTAGAGTGGTTTCCAACATATACAAAAGTCTGATAAACTTTACAAATCAAACAAACAACCTGATTCTTATTGGCTACTTAAGGCTACTAAGATATTAACAAAGGAAGGAGTTTCTCAAATCAGTCTTAAATTTTAATAAAATATATATTGTTTGATAGAGGGGGGAAAAAACTGTATTTTTTTTCTTTTATCTGTCAGATCAGCCATTTGCAAGAAATAGGGTTCTAAAATGTTTTGGAACCCTATTCTAAAATGTGTTACGGTAAAATGTCATCGCCGACTCGTGTTATGACAGGATTGTTCGAATCGAGACCAATAGCAGATATTGCACAAACCGTTGAGTTTAAACGAGCAGCGGACCTACTAAAACCATTTATTATTTAACAGCCATAAAAATTATATTTATATTAATGATGTCTCCAAAGTTCAGCAAATTTTTCACAGAAAAATAATTTATCAGGAAATATGAGCCACCGTTCGATGCGCCATTCCACGACAAAAACAAGCTTAAGCAATGGTGTAGTTGAATGGTGCACACTCAGTAAGTAATCCTACAATTTTTTGTTTGTAGCGTAGTTTATATGGATTATTCCCAAAAAATTATACGTGTTTTGGAAATGTTGAGTCAAATTAGTCTAGAATCGATTAATTTTATGGAAGAAAACCTTTCAAACAGCCGTAGTCCCTAAACTGCATACATGCCGGGCTGTGATTGGCTCAGGTATTTAAGTGACTTGTACAACATGGAATTCATAAAACATGGAACGTATCTACCATGTTATAGGGTGGTCTACTGCACAATAGTGGCAACATTTTTTGGATTTATTGACATTTTCCAAAGTAATATAAGTAACATGTTTAAATGCAATAAATTTAAATTAATTAATTAAATAAAATAGTAAAATAAGTTTATCAAACTAAGTTTATCAAACTATAAGTTCTTACAGATACTACTGAAAAATTGTCACTTTTCACAAACCAAATATAAAATTGAAACTAGAACCAATCAGAACAAAATCAGAAGATAAAACAAACTTTTGAAGAAACTAATCAAATAAATGACAGCGATAATGCATTCTAAAGAAGTGAGTACTGGACAGAACAACAAAGAGCAAGATGGGTGGGAATTGATCCCTTAACATGTCCAGTCCAGCCACAACACTATATTTCTATATGAATTATTAAAACATTTTAGAAATGGCTGATCTGACAGTTAAAAGAAAAGAAGACGGGTCTTCTTATTTTTTTCCCTCTACTGTATATTTTATTAAAATGTAAAACTGACATGAGAAGTCCCTCTCTTAAGGCTGTTATACATGTTACGGAAATCTTCAAAGGATGGTACTTAAAAGACGAAAAAAAATCGAATATAACTGGCTGGATCGAACATAGTAATTTACAAAACTTATTAAAATATTTCCCAACGTATAAAGAATTATTTTTATTTAAAGGTGGATAGATAGAAACAAAAATTATGGTTAATCCTCAAAGGATTTCGTAACGTGTATAACAGCCTTTATAAACAATTTAGCCTTAACTCTAAACACGAAATTGGCCAATGGAAAAGTTGTTTGACAGGTTTTTCTGTACAAGTTTCCCTTGTATCCTGAGGGGTAAAATCAATTTAGTCTCTAGGTACATGAATAGAAAACATTTTCGGAGCTTAAATAGTAAACAGTAACAGTTTTCAGAGCCTAATAAAAATCAGGCTATTTACTATGGTTTTTTTACTACTACTGTTTATTCATGTATCTTAACTGTGTTTACTATACTAATTAATCTCAATGTATTTTCACTGATGATCAAATGGCTGAGCAGTCAAGGTGGCAGCTTACTGCTCTGCAGAACACGGGATCAAATGTGGACGAGTAAAAAAAATCCCCAGGAATTTTCAAGGGGGTCCATCTGGATATGTCAGGCTCTATCCCTCACTACCTGGCTGCCCCATTGTGGGCCTGGCCGAACTGATAATGGGCTTGCTAAAAGAGGCTCTCTAATGCCCACAAGTCAGAAAGAGTTAAAAAAAAAAAAAAAAATGTATTTTCACTGTAGAAGATTGTTTGCAAAATCAGTAAAAATTATTACAATATGCCTATATTGTTCCAGTAGCTGAGAGAGAATCAGTTTTAAAAGGGTAATGTTTCACTTGAAATTGTTTGAATGATTTTATTATCTTTAAATATGATGAATAAGAAAATGCAAAATCACTAAATAATGAAATAATTTATCTTAAACTGTCATTCATATAAAAATCTTCACAAAAGAGAGAGAAATTATTTAAAATATTTTGAAAGTTTGTATCTCCTAAATATTGTGATTTTATCCATAGTTTTTTGTATTTTTCTTTTTTAACACAATGTATACATTGTTCACATCTATACCCTAAAACCTCAAATTGTGTTGAAATATATTTATGATATGTAGCTTTTAAAAATGTTATGAATAGTTAAATTTGAAATAATTTAACATTTGATAGAATTTGTTAAAACCTTAATTTTCCAAAAAAAAAAAAAAAAAAAAGCATCTATTAATGGCCCACTGATATGTCAAAAAGAAGTGAGGTAAAGATTTCATTGCAACAAATGGTTGATGGTTGACTTGACTGATGGAAAAAAGTATTGACTATGTATCAGCTGAGTTGTGGATGGAGATAGAATGATCAAAATTACTGCTGAATATTCACTAAGGAATATGCACAGTTCAAATCCAGACAAAACAGTACAGTACTTTATTTTCATACAATGCTTATACATTTAACCATGAAAGCACCAAAGAATTAAGTCTTTAAAAGAATGACATCAAATCATCTGTGACTTGGTTTCCAACAGCACTTTTACCATCCAAGGGAGAGGGCGATTTCTTGAACAGAGTAACATTCTGATGTGTAGCATTGTCACATTTCGTGCCACCCTCTATTTATTTTGATAATATTGTTTAATAATACTATTATTTTACAAACTTAATTGAAATATTTTTTAAATTGATTATTAAAATAAATAATTCATTGATTTTTCTCACTGAAAATAATTTAATATTGTGATCTACAGCTTTATTGATACTATTCTGATTTGATTCTTTTGATTACAAAAGAATCAAATCAGAATAGTATCAATAAAGCTGTATCAATCTTACAAATTAGTGCTACAATCTACATAGCTTAAAAATTTATTGTTAGTGGATTTGTGGCTATTTAATGAAAAGGGATGTGGATGTGGTTGTGGAATGGGAAAGTAGTATGAAGTGAAAATGAGAAAAGCATGTATTGATCTATTCAAGATTATAGCACTGTGTTGTTGTGCTGTAATCTTGAAGAGATCACTGTACTTATTTAAGATGTTCATTGTATGACCCTGCTTGTATCTGTCAGCCATAAAAGAAGCAATTTTCATAGCTGCTGGCCATGGGAGATGCTGTCCTTGCATTAGCCAGGTATGGAGAAACTATCCTTGCACTTCCCAACACAGAGAGGTGATCCTAGAACAAAGCAATAGACTTTGATTGTTTTGTTCTTGTATTTTGTTTGTTTTTTACATCTACTTTCCATTAGGTGCACACAATGCTGTTTTCTATTTTTCTCTGCTGAATTTCGTTAGGCATGCTCAATCATGTCAGGGAGTATGGACATTGTCACTTTGACTTCACCATATATTGAAAACAAAGTCATAGACTACATTTTTGGAATCTTCATCACAATTAATGGAAAATGGCAAAGTTTCATCAAAATTGGTCTATTGAATTTTGAAAACAAGCACAATTCTACAAGCCTATAGAAGACATGCTATTGACCTTGGGACATTGCCTGACAAAGATGTGCAATATTGCAATATACAGGGTGGACCAAAAAGAATATACGTATTTCAAACTGATATATTTAATAAACTATCGATAGTAGCGGTGTGCTGCGGGTATCGGAGGAACGAGTGCATTGTCTAGTTTGTCCCCAGATGTCAGTTGTGCTTGGTTACAATGACGTATTCACAGTTGTTGTAAAATGGCTATGCCACAGCACAAAAGCTTTTGTATTCTTGAGCTTGCGAAGTGTAATTCCGTGATTACAGTGCAAAGACGTTTCCGGTTGAGGTACGAAATTGATCCTCCGAATGGATGGAACATTCGCAGATGGTACCGTCAGTTTGTTGACACAGGTTGTGTATGTAAAGGAAAGAGTCCTGGCCGACCTCGTGTATCTGAAGAAAATGTCGCACGGATTCAAGCTGCTTACCAACGTAGCCCTTCAAAATCAACACGTCGTGCCAGTCGGGAATTGCAGCTGCCTAAAACAACAGTTTGGCGTGTTTTGAGACGCAGGTTAGTTATGAAGCCCGGACCGAACTCCCGCCCGGACCCCGGTTCCCGGACACCCGGACGGAACTCCCGCCCGGACCGTTGGATTGACGGGCAACTTGATGGACGGGGTCCATCAAGGACACCGTCTATGTTCCTCCACTACCACAGAACCTCGATGAGTTGAAGAACCGGATCCGTACTGCCATTACATCAGTGACACCGGACATGCTTAGTCGAGTATGGCAGGAATTTGAGTATCGGTGTGATATTGTTCGTGTCGCTGGTGGAGGACATATTGAACACCTGTAATCTAAACTAGAGAGTTTCATAAATATGTGTCCCAAGTTCCATAGTTGTATGTCTTACAGTTTATTAAATATATCAGTTTGAAATACGTATATTCTTTTTGGTCCACCCTGTACTTGTGCTATGACCTTATATCTCGAAAATGAAGTCATGGACCCCCATTTTTTATAACATTTTTGGATTCCTCATTGCTATAAATGAAAAATGTCAAAGTTTTATCAAAATAAATTCATCAAATTTTGAGATTGAATACAATATTGTAAGCCATATAGAAGCTTTGCTGTATTTGCTATCTTTAGTGTAAAATAGTAATTTAATTACAGCATAAAAATAGCAAACTGATTGGTTGATTAGTATTGCTAATATATGAACAATTTTAAGATTAGAAAAGCTACATAATATTGAATACATTTTACAAGTTTTCTTGGCAAAATACTGCTATTTTAGAAAAAAATGTTTATTATTAGTTTGAAAGAAGTAAAAAAAACTAATTACTTAAATAATTTTCAAAATATTTTTATAACAATGATTATATGGCAAGCAATGTATCTTTTCAAAAAATTTATGACATACAGTAATATGAATTTTAATAATTTTTAATTTTTATTTTTGCAGAAATTGAATTGAACTTTGTTAAGGCTTGTATTTCATCTAACAATTGTAAGAAATTTGCTTATTTTAATATAAACATCCCTATTTCAATGAAAGAAATGTGAACAATTTTAAATGGTTTAATATTTTAGATAATTACAATTTAGCTAAACTCATCTTTAAAATAATCTGTGAATTGTAACATTATCCAATACATTACAATGTCAAGATTTCTTAAAAATTTAAACTTTTGATGAATATAAAAAAATATTTTTAGGATTGATACTTCTAAAATAGGATTTAAAATATTAAAAAATACATGTGGGAGGTATGTAATGTTTACATTTATATATTAAAATAAATATATCCATTTAATTCAAGAATAGAAATATTTTTATTTGAGAAAATTTACAAGAAAACATTTTTGTTAAAATTCAATTTAACTATATGTAAAGTCAAAATTACTTATTGTGACATTGTCACAGTGCCAGACAACAATTTTTAATCATATTTTAATTTAAATAAATATAACTTGACACTGAATCTGAAACTTGTTTAATTTTTCTCTATGATGACATTTTTTCAAATTTTAACTCTAGTATGACATTCACTGTTGAATATCAATTTTTAACCAGTCAGTCAATCAGATTTTTCAGAAAATGGATAAACTTAGCATTCTCCAAAAAAAAAAATCTAGATATATATTTTGTGCTTAATCATTTGCTATTCAGTAATTCTTCTCTTTGAATGCTGCAGTCTTGTTGATAGAAAGGAAGCTTGAAGTTTATTCAACAAAAATATAGTTGTTGTACCTTCTTGAATGAGAGGATGATCTTTGAAAGATTTCATTGCATTTGCTCAAACTGTGAATAAATGTACAAATAATAAACTTCTAACAAAAATTACAAGTGTAATAAAGTCAAAAATAAATTTTTTATACTTGCTTTTCCATTTTTTTTAACAACATTGTTGAATAATAGATGAACAGTTTTGTTAGAAATTTAATTTGGGAAAATATAGATATTCTCTTAGAACATCTTGTCTTTTTATTCCTATTACTAAAATTACCATTGCATTTTTAATAATTAATTAATTAATTAATTAATAATATATAGTTTATTCTCATTTTTTCACTAGTTAAGTTTAGTTTGAATGTTCTTTGCCAGAATATAAGCTTAATTAGGACTGCATAATGGTTTGAGATAGAAAGCAGGAAAATAAAATTACATTGGTAAAGTTCTGGGGTATGCATATTGGAACCTCACAGACTGCATGCAGCCTGTGATTGTGTGTTGCTCATGACTATTCTAATTGATTAACTTTAATTTTAGTAATTATCAAAACACTAATCAACTTGTTTTCAAATGCTTGATACTAGTTAGCAACTAACTATTCTGACAAGGTAAATTGGCAGCAGCATATTACTGCTTATTCTCATTGTTTTCATAAATTACATTAATTGCTTGTTTTCAAGAACTCTGTTTTCAGTTTGAGTTAAGTTTTCAATTCTTAAAAGTATTTGATTCTGTCCCTAGTTAATTCCACAAAGACTAATATTAAAATTTGTGGAGAGGGCTAGTCAGATACAGCATTATCACAATGTAGTGGAGAATAAGCATGGGAAATTTTTTTAAGAATTTTCCCATGCATTTTTCTCGTTTTCGTTTCAGAAAAATATTTTTAAACAGTTATGTCTTGTTAAAAAAAATCTTTCTTTATTGTCACATAATTTCTTTTTATGTGAATTTTTTATCGCAGTAATTTTTGGCTAAAATTTTTTTACAAATATTGACATCATTCTCCAGTGATACGTGATCACTCTTGACAGGTATATCCATCAATCACTGCAGAGTGATTAACAAGGATTTTGTGTCCAATGCCCTCTTGTCACATGTTCTTTGTTTTTCTGGCAAGGTTCAAAATCATTTTTTAGTTTTTACATTCAGGTTTTCAGCTTATAGTAAGATTTAATATAGAAAATTGCTCTTTTCTAAAGAATTTTTCTCAATTAGTTAGGTTTCCATTTTATTCAGGTTCTGTTTTAGACAGTTTTGACTGTATATTACATTTTTACTTTAAAATAAAGTTTATAATTTGGCAAGTTAAAAGATTAACCAGGATGATTTGTCTAGACAAATTATTAAATTATATCTGACTTTATTTTCTGTATATAACTTTCTTTAAATACTAGTTATAATAATTATACTGAATGTAAAAGGTGATTTATAAAGACATTTACACTTACAGTATTGTAAATTTCAAAACTGTAAAAGATTAGTACAATAAAGCCTTGATTTAATGAACCTATTTAAAAGACAAAAAAATATTCTGTTATCAATGAAAAAGAACATTTTTTTAAAAAATTAGTCAATATACATATCAATTACTCAATATTAGTGATGCAACAAATAGTATATTCGGCCAGGAGCGTGGCTGAATAGCCAAATATATGGCCAAACTATTAGTCTTAATTAACGCACGTACAAAAATTGGTGCGCAAACCGCATTATGGCGAGGATCGTGCATCCTGTTCTCTATTGGCCTGCTGTCACTACATTTCGCCAATCGCATTAATTCTTGACAGTTGTAGTGGACAGGCAAGAGCGTCATGGCAGCATGTGATAAATGATGATATCAAATGTGAATAACAATGAAATGACCTACACGTATAAATAACAGAAAAAGAACAGAGAAGGACCGTGAAGTAAAAATGTGAAAATAAATATGAAATTGAGTTGATAACATAATCGAACAAGTTGAGGCAGCTTATTGGCACGAAATTCATGGCTGTCAATGCCAAATAATTGTTCTCATAGACTTCGGAAAGCTAAATGCTTGTAATGAAAATCACTTAGCATGCACAGGTGAAAGCCTGGGACCATTCAGGCTACCAAGCTGTCTGGAACTTCAGTTACGATAAATAATTTTATACAATGAAACAAAAAAGTTAATTTAATTTTCAAGTTTATAATAAGGGATGATTTCATAAAAACACTTTACAGATAATTAATTATTATTTTTTTCACATTTTATGTCCTAAGTTTCGATCTAATTTGCCCATGCAGTAAAAATTTTCAAACAAATTTTTTACTCTTTTTCACCCCTTTAGGGTTGAATTTCGTATAATGTTTTCTTAGCATGCCTAAACTTTACAAAAGGAACACACCCTCAAATTTTTATGTTTCTAGCATCAGTAGTTTTGGCTCTGCGTTAATTATCCCATCAAGACATTCTTTTATATATGAGTATATAGATGACCATACTACATAATAAGTAGGTAGTTTTCATTTGATTTGTTATTTTTTTTTTATCTCTTAAAAATAATTTAGTTATATTAATTTTCCTTTGATCTTTTACATAAATAAGCAAAAAATTGTGCTTTCTCGAACTTGAAATGTTCAGCATTAATAAAAGTTACCAAAATGATTAATTTACTGTGTTTTTGTTATTTCTTACTCCTATTTTTAGGTATTCAGTATTCAGTCAAATAGCAAAACAGGCTGAATACCGAATAGTAACCGAATATTCGTTGCATCATTACTCAATATACATTGTAATAATAATTTATTTATATTTATATATTATAATAATGTTTTAATACATCCTATACATTGTCAGTTTGTTGTTATATGTTAAAATTTGATTTAATGAACTTTCAACAATATCGGATATCCTTTCTCCAATTAGTCCATAAATTGAGGACCTGCTGTGTGTAGAATAATATAATAAATTACTATAAATAACACAATAACCTGTTGATTTTATAATTATTATTCACTCGAGAATTTCTATAGAAGAATAATAATAAAAAGTATCATCTAAATACAAAGACTAATGCAAGTCTTATTTAAATAAATACATGAAAATTTAATTTTCAGATTTTTCGAACTGCTGTTGAAAATTTGCATCCCTCTCCAACAGACACGTGTTCTTTATATTTAAATCATGCTACAATAGCTGCTTTACCTTCAAAGTGTTCTCGTCATAATACTCCATCTCAATCTCATTCAATCACTAAATTAGTAAGAAATTGCACAGTTGGTGTGGATGAATATATAGTGGTATGTTGATTGAATTTTTTAATTCATATTTTGAATAATGAAGACATTATTAATTTGAAAATAATTAGTCAGAATAATTAGTGTAAATTTAAAAGAATGCTTTAATATTTTAAATATAAATATCAGATTTTCTTACTTAACATAAAAGTATTAGGGCTGGTTCACATTACAATGGATTTTGCAGTGGCAAATTGATAATGACATTGACTTACTTGCCATTGTTACATCATTTCATAATGGAATAGTAGTATGTTGCTGACTTGAGTCCAGCATGACTTTTACTATGACGACAAGCAGAAAGTTGAATGTTTCTCCAATGATAGATTATTTGAATAACATAAGCTTTTTGTTTTTCAACATGGTAAGTTATAAACTTGATGTTTAATTTTGTTGTGTGATGTTAACAGTGAAATTTTAATTGAAATAGTAAGAGAACACTAATCTCAATTACCTCTATTGGTCTTTGACTTGTATGAACATTTAATTGTATTTCTGCAATTTGGGTTACTGTGATATTCAATTTATTTCTTTCCAAAATATAACTTTCTCTCAAATTCTCTTTTTAGGCTTATCATAATTTCTAAATTTTGATGAGGCATTATTTAAAACTAAATACAAATAATTTGCCACAATTTGCATTACGATAGCATCCATTTTTTATTTAAGCTGCAACCCTATCCAACACTGTTCACTTGTGATTATGTCAAGGTCAGAATGACACAAGGTGCAATGTAAACAGGAGCACATCAGGAACAGTAGGCAACCTTTTTGATGCCACAGCATTTTCTGCCATAATGTGAACCAACCTTTAGAGTTTCAGTTTTAATCATAACATTTTTATTGACCTTATCAGATATTTTAATGGATTTTATCAGCCTTTATTATGCTTATATTTTATGTTAATAAGTTTCAATTGAAATTCATTATTAATGTTATTTTTATTGTGGATTATAAACTTATAAACTGTAATTACATTTATGATTATTTATAATAATGAAAAATTTTCTAATTACTTTTGTTATGATGTAAGATTGAAATAACTTTTTATCATTTTATTTAGTGTAAAAGGTAAAATAATTTAAAAATCTCTTTATATTGATTTTACAAATCCTAAAATTACTAAAGTTTCTAAAACTTGTTTTTGTGTAAAATAGGAATGTAATTGATCGTTTATATAATAATCTTAATATCACAATATAGTTATAATAAGAAAAGTTTTTAATTATGAAATTTAAAGCAAGCATTATATCATATTTTTAAATATTAATAAAAAATGATATATGAAATTTATGTATTTTTATCAAGACTAAGTCTTGTTTGAATCATCAAGTATAGTTTTGACTCCAACTAATAAACCAAAGTACCAAGATGTATATCAAAATAATATGTCAGAGTATAAGTTATTGATATTGAATCTACAAATGTGAGGCAGATAATAGTAAGGGCTTATCACACCAGTGATAATAGGCACAAACACTCAGGAATTAAAGTAAAATATTTAATAAAAACAAAAAAGGAAGTGTACAGTAAAATTGACTACATAAGTATGAAAACAAAAAGACCCAAAATACATTTTGGACTTTTCCAATAGAAAATAGTCCCACTTCAGTTGGTAATATACTTAAAACTATACAAGATAAAGATAACACACTGCTTTAACTGTGGGTGCGTTTACTTCTGAGTTAGCAGTGCTAATTCTGATAACCGGATGTGACGTCATTAGCACGTGTATTCGTGCCTGCTTGTCCAATTTGAAAGTGAACACATACGCTAACAAGAAATATGGCTGTAAACCGCCATATTTCTTGTTAGCGTATGTGTTCACTTTCGAATTGGACAAGCAAGCACGAATACACGTGCTAATGATGTCACATCGGTTATCAGAATTAGCACTGCTAACTCAGAAGTAAACGCACCCTGTATGAGCAGTAAGCATCATCAATGTAGACAGGTGTAAAAAATCTTCATAACGTTGCAGAGTGGCGTGAAATTTAATTTAATTATATCAAGGGCTAAAAGCAATTTTTTGTAATAATTTTGTTTATTGATATTGTTTAAAATAATAATAATTTTATTAAAAATATTAATCTACTGATTATTTTGTTTATAATAGTATATTATGCAATTAAAGTAGAGTGTCGTTTATCTGAAAGCCAATCAACCGAAACATCGGTTAACCGAAAGCGTTCCAGTCGGACTGTGTCATGCTGAATTGAAAGTTTTTGATACTAGATTAACTTCTAAAGTATAATTTTTTTTTGTTTTTATATTTTTCAATATATTTATTTTGTTTGTACAAAATAAAGAAATAATTTTTAACGATATGATAGCCATGATTATTTTAAAAAATTTATGTTAGGCTTAACATCAATGAAAATTCAACGCGAAGCAACACACATCGGAGAAAAATTTCAACATGGGATGGATTAATATATTTTTTCATACATAATTGGTTATCCGAAAAATAAGTTATCCGAACAACCCCAGTCCACAATTGATTTGGATAAATGACACTACTATAGTTTATAATATGGCATGAATGGAAATTTGGCACGTGAGTGGAGCAAATGGGCCAATTTCCATGAATGTCATAGTTGCTAATTATAAACAAATTGTCATATGGTATTTTGTGGTTAGACTACACCTATAACACTATCCTTATGGAAATCAAAATTATGTATAAACACACTGTTTGTGTCAACCATGTCATAAACATTGTGTTTATACATGATTTTGAGTTCCATAAGTATCGAGTTATAGGTATAGTCAACCACAAAATAATTTTAAAATTAAAGTGCAATTCTATCTTAAACGGAGTTCATTCTGAAGATATACACAGTATAAAGTATAGTAAAATTTTTCAAATTATAACTTGAAATGCATTATCAAGCTATTAATTAATTAAATAGTGATACTAGGATAATAGAAAAGTGATTGATCTACAAGGCTTCTAAATCAGTAGACTCATTTAAATTGTTTTTAATAAAATCACTTGAATTCACTTGCAAAAATCAAAGAATGAGAATAATCAGTATATTAGTTTTCACTTATGATTGCTAAAAGTAGAAAATGTTGGGTTTATAAAAATAAAATATTTCATGGATTGCAATTTGAATGTTTACTGAATTTTATACCTATGATTACAGGATTTTATTAACTCTGTTTGTCCATTCTAATGACAGGATATGCCGTTTTATAGTACAATGGCATATGATATTTGAGTATTTGAAATTTTATTTTGAAGATATGAATAGGTATAGCATTAATCTTTTATTTAGTCATTTTAGACTAACTTTTAATTAACTATTATACATATTTTGATTTAGAAGATGAATTTTTATAGTCTCTTAGTTTAGCTTGTTTTGAAACAAAGATCTTAATATTCTCCACAAAGTTTCATTTAAAATATACACATTTTTGTAACATATCTTGAATAAAATTTTTTCGTGAATTTTTTAATTCCTCAATTCTAAGATACACTTTTTTACTCATTTTTTATTAGTCCAAAGTAGAGGATGTCTTAGAATTTATGGCATCTTATGTTTGCAGTTGAAAATACAATCAGCAGTCATTATGAATAGACCACATGATATGTTATGCATCAATAAGAGATATTTTCAGATATATTGCTCAAATGCTCCCATCAGTTCAAATGAGCTTTGCTGATAGTGGCCATTTAATTTAAACTACTACTTAATATTTAAAATGCCTTCAAGACAACATTATGATGGAACATTAAAATGAATAGTTATTGTATATGCAGAAATGTATGGAACTAGAGATGCCAAACATTATCTGTTTCAAGTAATTTATTTTGTTTTTCTGTTGTTACTTAACAGAATTGGTTATTTAAAAATTTGAACCTAAACTTGTGGTGCATCTTAGAATTGGGAAAATGGTAATTATGTAGTTATGATAAAGTTATTGATATAACTATTTTTTGTTATAATAACCATGATATTTGCAGATGATATGTGAAATGACTGATGCATTTGCCTCAGCATGTGCCATTGCCCGTGCCTTTCCTCTTTATTCCCGAAAATCTGCATCTTCTTCTTCTTCATTTACTGTAACTGTTGAATTTATTATAGTTACAAATGGAAATGATAATCAAAATTTAACTGAAAATGATATTCAATGTCTGTCAACAGCAACTGAAGGAATACGTTTAGCTGCACGTATTGTAGATACTCCATGTAGTGAAATGCATACAAGTACATTTTTAGAGGTATCTATTTTGATTTGTATAAATTAACAACTTAATATAATTTTCTTCATGATTGAAAATATATTGATATTGACAAATTCTAAATATATAAAATAGCTTAAATTTTTAAAATATTTTGCAAGGACAAATAATTTTTCTAGTCATAGGCCTACTCTTAACTTTTTAGATGGGTTACAATTTACATTATGTATTATATTTGTGTGTACAAATATATTTAAATTGAGAGTTTATGAATATTTGAATAAAATTTAGAGGTTAGTAAATTTTGTTGCACCAATAAATTATATAATTTTGAGGTATAATGATTTTGAAATACTACTGTAATTGAATTATAGAAATTACTGTACTGTTGTTAGTAAATTTTTAAAAATATTAAAAAGAAATTATGCATTATTAATAATTATTTTATCTTTTTAGTATAAATGTTGTATATATGTGTTTATTATTATTATTATTATTATTATTATTATTCTAACATGAAAATCATTAACTTCTAATTTGTATTTAAATTTTCTTCAATAAATCAGTTTTGAGTTTGTTTATGTTTATAGAGTTTTTATAAGATTTAATAACTAGTAATAAGTCTCATAACCTGGTGTTTTAAAAAAATAATAATAATTCTAGCCTCTTCTAGCAGATATATTTTATCAAACATTTTTGGCTGATGGGTAGCCATCCTTGGGATCAAACCATTAAGGATTGGAATATATAATATAGAATACATACAGTTCTGCTGGGGAAGAGGCTAGGTTTTATTACTATAGCTATTAAGTGATTATAATTATAACATATTATAATTTTAAATTTAAAAATTAGTGTGTGTGTGTGTACGTATATACAGTTGACCCCCCTATAGCACGGTAGATACGTTCCGGTTTTTATGAATCCATTTTCTACGAGTCCAGCCAATCACAGCCTGGCACATATGCAGTTCACGGACTACGGCTGTTTGAACGATTTCTTCCATAAAATTAATCAATTCTAGACTAATTCAACTCAACATTTCCAAAATATGTATAATTTTTTGGGAAAAATCCATATAAACTATGCTATAAACAAAAAATTGTAGGATTACTTACCAAGTGTGCACCGTTCAACTATGCCATTGCTTAAGCTTGTTTTCCTCGTGGAGCTTGTCATCGAATGGCACTCGCGTGCTTCTTTATAAATTATTTTTTTTGCAAAAAACTCACTGAACTTTGGAGACATCATTAATATAAATATAATTTTTATGGACGTTAAATAATAAATGGTTTTTAGTAGGTCCACTGCTCATTTAAACTCAACGGTTTGTGCAATATCCGCTATTGGTCTAGATTTGAAAGATCCTGTTGCGACATGAGTCGGCGATGACGTTTTACTGAATTATAGGAGTTTTTTTAGCATGTTTGTACGAATACTGTCACAATTTTTTCGCCGTGATATAGGAATCCGAACTATAGGAACCCGTGTTATAGGGGAGGGTCGACTGTATATATATAACAGATAACAGTACTAATTTTTATTTAAATATTATTATTTCAGGAAATTAAAACTGTGGGTGAAGCTCTTAATATTATACCTACAATAATCCAAGGAAATGATTTACTTGAACAAGGATTTGGTGGTATATAATTTGGTTCATATCATTCAGGTTATACAATTAATTATATTTGTTTTTTTTTTAATCTGTTCTTACTTAGATTAAATTAATAAATAAAATTAAACAATTGTTTATTTACTTTAATTATTTTTAATAAGAAATTTGAATTTTAGCTTTGTAAATAAAGAATTATATGTAATTATAATTAATAATAAATTATGCATACATAAATTATAAAAAAATTCGTTTTTTGTAAACTTGTTCAAATGTTTACATTAGTATCTATTTTTTAGATTTTAATATTGTATTATATGTAAGTATACCAATAATAAAATTTTTATTTTTGTAATGTATTTTCATTCTGTTTTGACAACAGGATGAAAAAGTATTACAGTAGAAGCACCTAATAATCTGAAATGTTTAATAATTCAGCACTTCTGGCATTGTAATTCAGTAAACCATGTTCAATGTACTGTATACATTGTATTGTGCTGAATGAACATTACTTTGTTAGACCAGGAACACACATGCGTAAAATTGTGTGGCAGAAAACTGAATCAGAAATCAGCTTTCAGTTTGGTTTCTGTTTTACGCTTTTATGCCAGAACACACATACATAAAAATTCTGGCCGAATAGGAAACGCCACTGCCACTAACAGTGCTAATTTTATTAATTTTTTCCTCTCACAGAGGCTATCTATCCCTTTGTATAGTACCTTCCATTTTTTCTCCACTTCCTCTGCTATAATATAGAAAATTTAAATTAATAGACTTGTATTCCGAATTCAAATAAAGAATGTGTGATCTAAATACTAGGCCTATATATCGATTCTACTAGACTTACCTGTTATTTGAAATTTAACACCTGTAGCCATCCATAAACGTTGTTTAAATACAGTGTCTTTATACATGATACTGATGTGGTCGAACAAATTCAATAAACTCCTCTATTTTTCCAGACCGTCACAATTGTAGGATAAACCCTCATTGCCGCCATATAATAGAATAAAAACCACGTGTTTACTTTGATGTCACAGGAAAGACTTCTCTTTATTGGAGGAATTTTGGCGCAAAAATTTTTCAGCATAAAAAGTAGAGACATGCTCTACTCTATTTTCAGTTCTGTTTCAGCCAAAATTTCAGAAAAATTTTTACGTTTTCTGTTTTATGCTAGATTTTATGCCAAATCTTACGTATGTGTGTTCCTGACCTTAGAGATGACATACATGTTTTGTGTTCAGTAATGTGCATAATGGATACATTTTTTCCCTCCATTTGCCATGCAAGGAAATCCTAAGCTCCAAGTATAACACTAATTAGAAACCCAAATAAAAAGGTTTCTTATAATTGAAGTATGTGTAGCTTTTGTGAATTGTACAGTATGTATACAGTATATGTCTGAAAAATGAATATTATATGCACATGAATCATTGGTGAATGTTGACTTTGTACAATAACTTGTTCATTAATATTTTTGCAGGTTTTTTTTCAATCAATCTTAAACAGTATAATCACACACTATATCATCATCATCTGATTAAAGATGAATGTTACAGAATCTGAATGTATCTGAATGTTACAGACATTACTGTACATTCTGTACCAGGAACACTGTTGTAAATGCTTTGATTTGTTAATGTGCGCATTAACAAATCAAAGCATTTACAACAGTGTTCCTGGTACAGAATGTACAGTAATGTCTGTAACATTCAGATTGCATATATCTTACACATTTTCATATTTTTGCAGAATTCAATAAACTGGCATTTTCAATAAATTATTATTGCTCTGGTTCTATAGATTCCAAATTAAGGAACTGCTACTGTATGAAGAGGATAAATATGATAAAAGTTTACATATTTCTTTTGTGTATTGATATTATTTTAACATTACATCAACTAACTTGAAATATGTAATATAAAGCCAAACAATCTGCTGGATTTTTTCAGGCTATAATATGACTAATATTTCAGATTAGTTGATGTAATGTTAGTATACAGTATGTATACCATGCTAGGATAATACCAATAACTGGGCGAGAGCAATGGAGGGCCATGGGTGTGAGTCATTCCCAGTCAGTGCAGCTGGTAACCCATACAGTTATATCTAAATTAATATGTCTGGAAGTGAACAAATGGTGGTCCAGGTAGAGTAACTGGCAGTTGAAGAGTACTGTTCATCATGAATTTATTTCTGAAGGTTGCACTTTAAACAATGAATTCTATCTATACATTCTGTGACATCTGCATGAGTTGATCTGTAAGGAGGAGGACACTGTCAACTGGGTGACAAAGAACTGGGTCAACTGGGCTATTGCTAACTGAGTGCCAGACATATGGCAAACAAAATAAGAGATGAATAATAGACAAAATACAAAATTTTTTGTTTTCTTTATAAAAAAAATCACCATACCTTTCTATTGATCTACCTGGTAAATTTAAATAATATTTTTTAAGAAATGAGTTAAAATACGATTTGTAATTAACAAACATATTTATACATGTTACATACTTTATTTGTTTGTTTATTTATTTTTACAAGTAAATAGAAAAGTCTCGAAGGACAGTTGATATCTAACCCCCAAAATTAAATATATGTAAAAAGAAAATGACAATTACATAAAATTAAAAATAAATGACAATTAACACTAAATACAATATAAATTAAAACAAAAAAGTATAAAAGTTCTTTGAAAGAATTGGTTTTTGAAGAACTGCTTTTCTTTGATGCACTTTGTTAACTGCATCTGACACAAAATAGTTAATGATGCTATAATACATTGTTCCAAAACATTTCCTTTTCCTAAGTTGGAAATAACTCATAACTTATAACTTCTACCTCGTAAGTCTTAACCATATTTATATTTATATATACAAGATAGGAGCCAAAAGTTTTCAGCCTAATTATATTTTGGACACGATAGGAATAAAATAATAATAGTATTAGATAGAACTGTCTGTATATGGACTAATAAAACAGTTTTCCCTGTCAATTTGCATAAGTTACTTGAAAACATTCATTTTAGTTAGACTTGTATTAATTTGAACCATGTTTACTTGCAGGACAATGTGCCAGTGCACACAGTTGTCATTGCCAAAGCTGCTGTGAAAGAGTGTAGGTTCAAGAAGCTTGACCATCCAGCCTACAGCTCAGACTTGGCTCCTAATGATTATTATGTTTACAAAACTCAAAAAAGTGATGAAGAGTTGCAGGAGACAGTTTATGAGAATTTTGCAGACATGACTATTTTTTCAAGAATATTGGCATGCAAATTTTAAGATTTAATAAGTGTGTTGAACTGCAAGGAGACTATATTAAAAAATGACATTATTTTTTAATCTGTAACATATGAAACATAGTGAGGCCAGAAACTTTTGCCACCTACCACATATTTTACCAATATTTACAAAACCAAAACAAAAATGAATAAAAAATATCAACAAAATTATATGCTTACTAAATGCACAAAAATATTTAGTTTCTGTTGCCCAGTTAACTATCATCCAGTTGACCATCACCTAGTACCCAATAAGAAGAGACCTACCTTGGGCTGATCAATCATGGGTTACATGAAACACTTTTACTCTTGGTTTTTGAATTTCTCTCCAAAATAAGAACTATACAAAAACAATGTCCTCCCACACTCATTGTACAGTACTTGCCTGACATTTCTCTTGCAACTTCTTTTTCCTTTCATATTTTCAACTGGCATGTGAACTCCAGTTTTGATAGTTTTCAAGCACAAAAGTGGAGAATGCAATATGGATTTAACTGATGGACATCATGAGGAATTGGTTCCAAAAGTGCTTCAACAATTTTTACAGTTACTAACAGAAGTGTGTTGCTATGAGGGAGAATCTTATTTTGAAGATTTGTTTTATTATTGTAACAGTAACAATCTTTGGTCTTATGGACCCAGTTATCAAAGTTTTGGATCCTAACCTTGTATAGTGCTTGTTATAAATAAAATGCTTTTAATTCAAATGATTTCATGATTTAAGGTTTTGATATCATACAAAATATTTGTAATAATCTTATTTTAGTATTTTTTGAATAAAATTACAAAAGTTTTTCTTATCAAAAATATAAAATAGCATTAAAATATTAAAAACAGAATGGCTATTTAATAATAATACTTTTCAATTTATCCTGTTTATTTTTAAATAAAATATTATAATATATTTGATAAATTATGATTATACAATTGCCTCTTATACTTCAGTTACTATGTGTGCATACCAGGTGCATGAGAGAGAGTTTAAACTAAAAGAAAAACACACTCCAACATGGATTACACGTTTTCAGTGTAATCCATGGATCATCAGGATGATTTCAAAAAAAAAGTTGAATCCTATAGATGATTTATGGACTGGATCAAAAATATTAAGAGTATTTATTTATTTTAAAAATTTTTTTTAATTCTCTCATTTATGTGGTGTGCAAATATAGTATATTTAATAAATGTAGATATGTTGAATTTAAATAGTATTTGTTTTGAGATTATGACATATTTAAATTTTCCAAGTTGAATGACTTCCAAAATATGAATGAATGTTTCTATATATATCAGTTATTCTATACAACACATAACCTCAGAAAAAACCTTTAACCGATGCGTAATAAAATTTAACACTACAAATGTTTTCAGACCCCTCCCGGGTCCTTCTTCAGGTAAAAAATCGTTTGAAACATTACTAAATACGAACAAACATGCGTTTGGAACAATTTTTACAAATCAGAAAGATAGAACGGAATCACATGATCAATAGCTCCAAACATCAAAGCTTCCACGTCATATCGACAGTTATTTAAATATTTTCCTTTCTTACAGATTTTATGAAGATCTTTTTTGTCTATACTAATATTATAAAGAGGTAATGTTTGTAAGTAAGTTTGTATGCATCAGGTAATCTCCGAAACTGCTTATCCGATTTCAAAAATTCTTTCACCAATATTTAGAATGGAACTTCAGGGTGGACATAGGCTATATATTATTCTGTTAAACATTCATATAAATTAAAAGTTATAATCTAGGTTAAGGCTTTTATGTCCAACAGATGGCGCTACGAGTATGATGCCCTAAGTTTGCTTTTCTGTGAGGTATTATGCTTTTCTGTGAAAATGAACTAAAGCAGATCATCATCTATCCATCTATATAAATAAAAATGTAATGTTCGTTTGTTCCTACCGATTCCTTTCAAATTTTGACACAACGTTGCATTTGAATACGTACGTGTTTTTATATAATATACATGTCGAAATTCAACCCCACTGAAGGGAGATGGTTAGGATTAAGGCTTACCGTAAAGAACTCTGCTTCTATTTATACTATTTCAGATGCGGTTTTTGCGTTTTTGATTGCGTTTTAATAGGGTTCGTCAACAAAATGTACACTAAGAAGAAATTTTCGAAAAATTCCCTCCCCCACGGGGGGAAGTGTTATAAATTTATAATAGATACATTTTGAGCCACAACAACGCATGGCGGGGTCTGCTAGTTATGCATAAAAAACATATCACATAAACACAGACTACCCCTTTACTTCCCTTCTTTTAGGTTTACGATTCACTTAATCTTCCTGCTGTATTAAGGCTGGTATACATGGTAAGGAAATCCTCAAAGGATGTGCTTAACAGACGAAAAAAACTCGGATATAACTGGCTGGATCGAACATAGTAATTTACAAAACTTATTAAAATATCTCCCAACATATAAAGAATTATTTTTATTTAAAAATGGATAGATAGAAAAAAAATCACGATTAATCCTCAAAGGATTTCCTTACCGTGTATACCAGCCTTTATGGGTTCGACCANACTCGGATATAACTGGCTGGATCGAACATAGTAATTTACAAAACTTATTAAAATATCTCCCAACATATAAAGAATTATTTTTATTTAAAAATGGATAGATAGAAAAAAAAATCACAGTTAATCCTCAAAGGATTTCCTTACTGTGTATAACAGCCTTTATTTAGGGCCTGCCATGCTAAAGAAAGAGAGACCTCATCTCTGGAATTAATGGGTGACGAAGTGCTATATGCCCTGTATATCTCTGTCTGCTTCAACCATTTGAGATGGTCTAAATATGAGGAGATGATAATTAACTTAGCATTTGAAAAGTCTGCTAATATCTCTCAATCAGATGCGTAAGTGGATAAGAAAGTGGAAAATTTATTATGTTGAATGTCATGCATGTGTGGTTTCAATCTGATCCCAACAGCACGTTTCATTGAGCCTGTGTAAATCAAGTCCCTGCCAAAACAGTGGTCCCTAAGTGGCACTCTGTATACCCCCGGCATTCTTTCCTCCTTAGATTTGTCCTTTCCATTGCGTAGAATATCAAATATAGATGGGCATCTTCTGAAAGCTAGGGAGATACCCCTCTGCCGTGCAATTTTACTATATAATGATTTCAATAGTGGGTTGTAGGTAATCGACACCCTCTGCTTATCCTCCTTCTGGTTGCCATTTATTGAATTAACCCTTTTAGAAGGAGACATCATTCCTTCGAACTGTTGCGACATTTTTGTATGATGTTATGGTAGCCTTGGTGTTTGGCCACTTCGCATAGGTATTGCAGTTCCTGTTCCAAAGCCCCTTGAGTAGAAGAGTGGGCCCTTTCTTTGGCATGCAGGCCCTAATACAGCAGGAGGATTAAGTGAATCGTAAACCTAAAAGAAGGGAAGTAAAGGGATAGTCTGTGTTTATGTGATATGTTTTTTATGCATGACAACAAAGATCTTCATAAAATCTGTAAGAAAGGAAAATATTTAAATAACTGTCGATATGACGTTGAAGCTTTGACGTTCGGAGCTATTGATCATGTGATTCCGTTCTATCTTTCTGATTTGTAAAAATTGTTCCAAACGAATGTTTGTTTGTATTTAGTAACGTTTCAAACGATTTTTTATCTGAAGGAGGACCCAGGAGGGGTCTGAAAATGTTTGTAGTGTTAAATTTTATTACGCATCGGTTAAAGGTTTTTTCTGAGGTATGTGTTGTTTAGTTATCTCCGATGTGCAGTTGATCGTTATTATTACAGTTGTTCTGTTTTCTTCTGTAGGGTGAATCAGAAAGGTGGCTACATATTTGATCTCATGGTGTGCTGACATCATTTGATTTATTGGGAGCTGATCAGTGCTGTTTTAAGAATTCACCTTTTTGAGAAGTCGTCATATGCTTGAATTACTTCAACAGTGCCTATAGTGCCTACGTCAGCATCCAAATGGCACTGAGTGTACAGCAGCAAGTTACAGCTACATCATGGGCAGTTGCTCACAAAAATGACTCTGAGATTGGCAAAATGTAATTTCGATATCAATTTCAACAGTTGGCTTGAAATGCCACTATTCTGTTAAATCAACTAATATCAGCAGAACATGAAATCAAACATGTAGCTGTCTTTTTTAACACACCCTGTATATGTATTACAATGTCTATTATAAATATGTTAGTTCTCATCTTTGTAATTTTAAACCTGCATTTTAATTAATTTTATTTAGAGATTTTTTATTCTTCCTCCATGTAATCATTTAATCATTTACATATCTTTTTCAATAAACATATCTTTAAATTTCTATTTGGTATACATTCTTTCCCTTGTTGTAACTATATTGACTGAAAATGAAATGGCACTCTTCTTCTGTTTATAATATCTTTAAATTTAAAGTATATATTTGTTATGTTATAAAATTTATATGTTTTGGAATATGTTGATTTTGATAAATATTAGACAACTGATTACAATAAACTGCATCTACTGTATAATTGAAATTTAAGTCAAAACATATTGCAAGTTGGCAGAACTAACAGTTTTTATAACAAACTCATAATATTATAGCTTTTAATGAATGTTTTAATTTTAATTTTTTATTTTGTTTTTTATTACAAAAAATGAATACTTCTCTTCTGCAGATATTTTTAAGTTGGTGTTCACTAATCAAAATTCATATACCTGATGAACAGCAATAAATTCTGGTGATTTTTGCCTATTCAAGACTTAAATGGTTATTGGTTTCTACTGCTTGTTACAAATTTACTTTTTGGCTGTAATTTGAAAAATTTGTAGACATAAATTTCCATGTCGTCCATCCATCTATTCTTTCTTTCTTAATCTTGAGAATGGAGTTAGATAGATGAAAGCCGAGACCAGATATGGAAAGCCTAAGGGCAGGTGGCCCCAATTAACTATAAATAACATGATTTCCAGTATGCATCAGAAGTCACATTATTTCAATTTAAAAATTCCCGTGAAAGGAGTTAGTTAAATGACTGGCATGACTCAATTGCTAAAGGAAAAGTATGATGTACAGGGGTAAGATGATACTAATTTGAAAGTGGAGAGCATATATTTTAAATTAAATAAATTTAAAAATATAATTAAAAATTGCAGCTTAGCATTATGATGATGTGACAATAAATATTTGCTTGTTTTTTAATTTTAGAAGGTCCATTAAGAACTGTTAGGATTTCTATAGTAAAATTAAGAATTGCACAGTACATTGGAATAGTTTCTGAAATAAACTTGTTTTATTAAAGGAACATTCTTTTTTTACACTTCTCTCTGAATATTCTATTGCTTTTATAGGATACTGCAAATGTATAGACCAGTGGTCGCCAACCTTTCTGACCTCACAAACCGCTAAACTCACAATTTTGAATCCTGCAGACCACTATCATAAATTTCTTTAAATGATGCAAACCTCTATAGAATAATGATCATAAAAGTTCCATTTTACTTTATTAATAAGAAATTCAATTGTTTAATTATAACAAATTAGTGTGAAGTTTGTTGCTGCTTGTTTGGCTGCAATTTGAAAAAAACTGTAGATCTATAAATTTCCATCATCATCTGTCTTTGTCTGTCTGTCGTTCCTTAATCTCAAGAACAGAGTTAGATAGATGAAAGCCGAGACCAGATATGGAAAGCATAGGGCCAGGAAGCCCCAATTAACTATGTACAAACTTCTGGTTTTTACCAGAAGTTACGTTAGTCACGTTAGTTCAGTTAAAAACTTTTCCCTTGAAAGGAGTTAGTTGACCAGCACAACTCAAATGCTAACAGGAAAAGTATGATGTACAGGGGCAAGACGCTACTAATTTGAGATGGAGAGCATATATTTTAAATTAAATAAATTAAAATGTAACATTGTGACGATGTCGCAATAAATAATTGCTCGAGATGATTGAATTTATCTTGTTTAAAATGAGTTTATGAATTCTTGGCTCTTTTCCACAAAGGACAATAATCAAACTCACATTATTTATTGATTTGTTGACATTATTGTTTAATGATAACAGTCATTTTGTGTTTGATTTTAGATTTAAAAAAAAAAAAAACCCAATGAGTGAGAAAAAGCAACCAAGCATTTTGCATTTCTTTTGTAATACTTAGTGTAACCTTGAGTTGATTGATGTCCAAATTTCTCTACAGACCACCAAAATTTTCTCGTGGACTATCAGTGGTCTATGGACCACTTTGCGATCACTGATATAGACTTGATTGTAGTCTTAGCTACTTACTCTGCCCAATGTTGTTGATCAGTTATTAGTATAAACAGGTTCCAAAATGAATACAATAAGTACTGTATAGTTAATTTTATAATCTCAACTGTTTTAATTATATTAAAAAAGTGTTATGAGACTATCAAATCACTTGCCTAATAATTAAATTTTTTTTATAGGTATTTATGCTGTGGGAAAAGCTGCTGAACATGCACCTGCACTTGCAGTTTTAAGTCATATTCCAGATCAAGCTACTGAAACAATTGCATGGGTTGGAAAAGGAATTGTATATGATACTGGAGGTCTTTGCATAAAAGCTAAGGTACATTTAGAATGACTTACTTTTAATAACTTTAAATTTTTGCTAGGAAATAGGTCCCATTTCAAAGAAGCATTAAAAAAATCTCTAAAATATTGGCTGCTAAAAAAATTGAATATAGGAAAACAAACATTAAAGCATGTTCAGACTCTGTTCATAATGATTAGAATTTGAGCATTGAGAATGATCAAACATGATAAATAGTATCTGTTATGTTGTACTTGAACTAATTATTATTTAATGTGTACTTAATTTATGCATTTGGAACCATATTTAATTTGGGACAAAAACTGTATCCATTACTCAAACAGGACAGTTAAAAATTTCAAACTCTAAGGTATATTTAATTAGTAATCTTACTTGTTATAATTAATTTGAAAGATTGTATTATTATTATTCAGAGGTATGGTTATAGGTATAATTAATTTTAAATATTTCATATGTATTTTTCAGACTGCTATGCCTGGAATGAAAAGGGATTGTGGTGGAGCTGCAGCTATTTTAGGAGCATTTTATGCTGCTGTAAAAATGGTAAGATTTATGAAGACTGGGTAGAATTTCTGGTATGCTAATGAAATATAATAGGATCTAGTGAATAATTAATGACTTTCATTCTAATGTTTAAATATTGTAAACAGTATTTAAACATTAGAATGAAAATGAAAGAAAACAAAATTTCAATAGTCAATTTTTGATTCTAGGCTAACATTCAAAGACCATGTAAACAAGATCATTAAACAACCCAGAATTAGACATTGTATTCTATGGTGGTGTGGTAGATCTATTTTTCCAGCAAGTTTTAAGGTCTTTATTTTCTTACAGATTTCAGTCATTAATTGATTATAGCATTTTCATTTGGTCTTTGACTGCTGACACTCTTATGAATAATGTTATTAAGTCAATAAGGTGTACTTACTGTTTAACAAACTGAGTAATTTACTGTATATCAATCTATCAATATTATACAATTGTACTTTAACTTTTCCTCTGTAAATAATAGGTAATCTATTTCAATCACTTAATGATTAAGTTTTTTAATGGTCTTATACCTCCAGATTCTATTGGTGTATGTCCCTAATTATGCCACTTGAAATTTATCCTGTTTACATTACTCTAATTTTAGATTGTTTTATGTCATTTTTTTTAATCCTAGTAGTAGTAGTATGCATAATTTGAAAATTTTTATTTTTATATTTAGACTCCATTCATTTTAAATTATTTTGCAAAAAAGCTATATACTTGTAAAATGATAATGTATATGGGGGATCAATAAGTAATACCTCCTCAGTCACCACAATTTTATTAATGAACAGATAGAGCAAAAGTAACATATATTATAATCTAAAGTCTTCTCTATATGAAGCTACTGTTCAATGTAGTCACCATTACTTTCTATATATTTATGCCATCAGTGGCATGCCGTCCTTGGAAGCAGTGGAAGCACTGCTTTCCTTGTATTTTATAAAATATAAATACATATTGCATGATTATTTTCATATTTTAACATACTTTGAATTAATTACAATTTATATTTTATTATAATTGCATTATCATTATGTATCTTATTACAAATTTCTATACTACATTTGAAAAAACAATAAGATTGCTATTGTATATTCAAATATAAATTCGTGTATGCTTATTTCCAATGGAAGCACTGTATTGTCAAATACAGATCAGTTTCCAAGGCAAAAATATAAAGCAGCTAAATTATATGCCTTTGCGCATGCACTTTACAGAGCACCAACCTCATGCAGTTTATTTGGTGGAAGCTACACACCAAAATAATGTATAATTCTTCCAATGATTCTATCCAGGACCAGTTCTGGGCTGTTAGCTGCCTGTCTGCTAGATGTTTGGTTGCCCTCATTCCATTATATGAATCGTGAGTAGATTTATAACTTAACCCAACCGATAGGAGTTACTGGTATGTTTTTATGATAGTTCTGTATAGTTGACAGGAGTTTTAAAAAATCCATTAAAATATTTGATATATTTATTCTGCTATCCCATCTTGTATTACTTATAAATTCCAATGTTAAATTAGCGATATTATGATTTAGTATGCCGCATCTATAAGGGGATGCAGAAAAAAATGTGTACAATTCTTGTACAATGTTAAAAAATTAACTGTTACTTTTTCAGCATCATTTACAACTAAATGTAATGAATGAGATTCACAAGGTACAAAAAAAGCTCTAGAATTTATTATCCTTAAATTTACGATTTATGTATTCGTTGTCATAAAAATTTGTCTTTTCACTTCTTTCCCAAGACTACAAATATTCAAGTACAAAGTAACCGGTTTCAAGTTTTTTATTTAACTACTTAAGAAGTAGTTAAATAATTAAGAGATTAGGGAATTAGGAGCATAAATAAAACCCTGCTGAAAGAGCCAGAATTTTACTTAAACAAAAGCTTAACTGAACCAATCTCTAGCCGAGTACAGTGGGGACTGATTTCTTCATAATGTTAGATATAATAAAGACAGACATTTTTCCAGTTCAATGAGAGTGACTGAAAAGTAAATTTTGGAAATTTCTGTGGACACCTGGTTCTAAAACGAATTAGTTAGAAAACAAATGACGGACAATCTATTAATTAAGTTTAACATATTTAATTTTTTACAGCTATGGTGAGAAATGTTTAAAATGTACAACAATCCTGTCGCGTCCTTTGAGACATACTAGTGATGTGACAAAAGTGGCATTTGACATTGACCAGTATTGGCACCCTCAGGATTTGGCATTCTGTGTGCATGCACGCACTGCACACCTACCAGGACCATCTCTGATTATATCCATTAGCCACTGGTAGGGAGCTATTTGACTAAGTGGATTGTTTTAAGATTTAAAAAGTAAAGAAGATTTTGTTATGTTTATGTATGTTTCTTTACAAAGCTATATTTAATTATAATTTTCTTTAAAAGTATATTCATACAATTGAAGAATATTTTATAGCAGGCACACCATACATTTTATTTTACAAAGTGAGATTTTATAATTTTATTTTTAATTTTAGCCCTTATATTATGGCTAGTGATTCACAATGTAATTGTGATATTAATTAATATGACCAGAGGGTCAGTATCTCTTCGATGCCCTGTCAGGACTGACACAGTGTGTCCTGATTGACATGGAAGCCAAGACGGTGGGTAGATTCAGTCACGTGAGCAATCGCATGTGCAGGTGATCAGATCTGGGATCTAAATTTGGGTTGAGAGACAGCGTACTGGAAGTAAAATACTCAGATATGAAAGTTAACAACTAAATACCCATTTATTTTCAATGAAGAGGAATACATGATACAATATATCGACTTAACCTATCTAGCTAGCAATCATGAGAGTGTTTACAATTGTTCACGAGTTGGGAAATACCTGCATTGATGGTTATGATTCTTGATTTGAGATTCTCGAATTGAGGTCAAGGTTAGGATGTTGAGGGTGAGGATTTGGATCGTTGGACCGGTCTGGATCAAGAAAGTTCTAGGCACAGCGGAAAATTAACATAAAATCTGACAGAGTACTGATTGAGCACAGAAATTTGCACAGATACAGGAAAAATTTTGATGACTTTAATCCAAGAATGACTGGCAACAACTGACTTTTTTCAGCCATCAAATCTGATATCAGTGTGACATTGCCTGTCCAAGAGGTCAGCAGATCAAGGGAATGCGTCGCTTTCGCCATCTAGAAAGTATAAGGGAAGATTTCTCAGGTAGCTGAGGACAACAATTGTTGAGCAAGTATAACATCAACGACTGATTTTTGTTAAAATTCAGAGTATCACATTAAAAATACATTTAGAGAAGCCTACGGTTTTTACTGGCTTATAGAACGAACAAATACAAATGGACCCTAGACCATCGCTGACATGCAATTAACCTGGAAATCAGCTTGCAGAAACACAGCTTCTCTATTATCAAATGTGACAGCACACTACCGTATGCCATCATCAAACCCAAGTATCAAATCTAGTTTGGAAAAATTTTGGAGCTTGTTTCCTGATCCATGACTTTACAGCTGATTTAAAGTATCAATTTAGGGATGTATGATGGTTGAAGTACCATGGATCACTCATTTTGACAATTGCCTGGGTTGTGAACAATGCTGTGTGGTCTTGCATTATTGTAATGGAGCTGTATGGAATGAATGTCTTTATGTGGTCTTCTATCTGATGGCTTCCTTAAGCTTTCTTAATTGTAGTAACATAGATTTAGATGTTGATTGTGTGACACCCATCCAAAAACTCAATGAGAGTAACATCCTGCATGTCTAAAAACAATGTTGTCATCATCTGTGTCAATCTGACAGGCTTGAATTTTTTGGAACATGGATAACCATTATGACACTATTTCTTGGATTGATTCTCACTCTCTGAGTCATATTGGTATGCCCTGGTGTGACCATATTTTGAAGAAATCCTGTCCCTCCATTTCAAATGCATCAAGGAGCTTTTTGCACATCCCACCTGCATTCTCTGATTATCAACTGTCAATTGCTTTGGACTTGGGAATCCTCTTAGCACAAATTTTTTTGATATTCCAACTCAAAAATAATTGTTTGTGCAGAACCATATAATACATTTAGTGCATCAACAATGTCCTGGATTGTGATATATTTGTCTCCTTGAATCAACTCATCAGCATATTGTCAGTTCTCATTAGTGACTAATGTTGACAGGTCACTTCTTGGCTTATCTGAAATTTTGGTTTCTCCTCTTTGAAACTTTTTCACCCAATGCTGCACATTATCATCATCATCTACAGTATCCCCATAAACACTCTTTAGCCAATTATGGATTTATGTAGGTGTTCAACCTTCTTTGGTCAGAAACTCTATGATCACTCTTTGTTTTTGCCTTGTATCCATGGTTGTAATTGCTCAATCTCAAAAACAAAAGCATACTTTAGTAAAGATACTATGTATGATGATACATGAACATTCATAGTAATAGATCTGTAATGCTAGTAGTAGATAATAACTCTAATAGATCAAAAATTAGAGATGCGGAAGCATTACTTTTTGATTCCTCCCTTGTATTTTGAACTAAAATTTTTTTTGTTGTTGTTGTTTTTATGGGGTTGTATTTTTGCTTGTTACTTGGTGATTGTAATCCTGTGTCACACGCGACTTTACCAATGTAAAATAAAATAAAAAAATATTAACAGTTAACAAAGCATTTGAATTTAGTAGCTGAACAAATGTACTTGCCCACCCAGTGCATTGTTCAATTAGTGCAGTCATACTAGTGAATCTATTGAACAAACATATATTATAATAATACAATAAATTTATTTTAATTAACTAACTTTTTAAAATATTTTTAGGGTTTTAAACAAAGGCTACATGCTGTATTTTGTTTAGCTGAAAATGCAGTTGGTCCTAATGCACTTCGTCCAGATGATATTATTACGCTTTATTCTGGAAGGTATGCATAAAAAGATATTGGAGACATTTATTCTGTTTTTAGTAGGTATTAACTTTAAACTCCGAAAACTTTTTCTACTAGTAGCTACAGACTAAATTGTTTTTACCCCTCAGGCTAAAAGGGAAACGTGTATAGCAAAACCAATCAAACAATTTTTCCATCAGCCAATTTTGTTTTGAACAGATAAAGCCAATTTTATGTTTAAAGAGTTAATATTTATTACTTTTATACAGGATAATTTAGAACTCATGGAACAAACTATAAGGGGTGGTAGAGCACATGACAAAATACATTTTTGAATAGGAAAGTACGGGTGCAAATGATGCATTGAGGCACAAAGACTGGAAATAACACATGAAAGGAAACAAATTGTTTACTTTCATGTTGACAAGTGCATCTGTACAGCAATGTTTACAATAATTGCTCAAAACTGTGTCAAACTTCTTATGGGAACATCTGAAGGCCCTCATTTACAAGAATCCAGTCAATTCTGTTGAAGACCTCATCACTTGAATATCTGTTGCAGCTGCACATGTGCAAGAAATGCCTGGCATCTTTGAAACTGTATGCCAATCATTCCATTGATGCTGCCGAGTGTGTATTACTGTTGGTGTATGCAATTTCGAACAGTTATTGTCAGGGCTGTGGAATCGGTAAAAAAACACTCAACTCCGAGCCAACTCTGACTCCTGATACTTTTAGTAGGCCGACACCGACTCCCAACTCCAGCAAAATTAAATACCAAGTCATTTTATGGAGGGCAGAGGCATTCATAGGGAGGGTACCATATTCTGAACTCTAAAAGAAGCCCAGGGCATTTACCCAAATACTTTTATAGTTAGTATTTTTAATATTTAACTTACATTAATATTTATTTATATAAAAAAATTAATTTTTAACAAATATTTAATAAGAGGAGAAAGGGGATGCTAATTATTCTACATCTACATATGTTCAACAGCATTTGCACTTCAATTTCATCCTTCTAGGAAAGTTAGTTCAACTAAAAAGTGTGCGATCTAGCTAGCTACTTTAGCCCCTTGTTCAGAAAAGAAAAATATGTACTCTGATCAATTAGTCTGGCTCATTCAGAAAAATAGAGTACTCATTTAGAGTGGGGATAATAAAGGAATGATTCAAAAATATTCAAATTCAATTGGGTCAAAATAATTTAACTACTAAACACAAATACTACAAAGAATACTACATATTTAATAAATTAAATTGATGCATTTTTATTTAAAATAAGTGAATTATAACAAGATACAAAAAAATTTTTAAAAATTAATAAATATATAATAAATTTTCTTTCATTTAAATAAGAAAACTAAAGTAAATTTAAAATGTGGGAGTTGGAGTCGACACATTTTTTTCTGACTCCGACTCCTCTGGCCAGAAATTCCTCCCAATTCTGACTCCACGGTCCTAGTTATTGTAAACATTGCTGTAAAGATGTACTTGTCAACAATGTTGTAAGTAAACAATTTATGTTTCCTTTCAAGTGTTATTGTTTGTGTTTGTGCCTCAATGCATCACTTGCATCCATACTTTCCTATACAAAAAGTTTTTTTTTTTTTGCTCTACCATCTACCATCCCTTAAAAATCTCTACCATCTCATGAGTTCTGAATCACCCTGTATATTTTATTAATAGAGAATTTTTAATATAAAAAATTAAAATATTTACATATATAAATTTCTAAAAAATGAGTAAAAAGAAGATTGAATATTTGTGAAAATTAATTCTTTATAAAGATTTCATCTTATCCCATGGAATTTTTTGACTAAAATAAAAAATTTAAAAAAATATATATAGTCAATTGTTAAAAACATTCATATTACAGATTATATCTTTAATTCATATCAATGTTTACAGATTTACACTTGCATTTTTAATTAATATTTAAGTTAGTTATTTTGTTAATTTTATATTAATAAAAAATTTTATATTGTATGCTATTGTATTGTAATATAAAGTCCTCATATCATGAAATAATTAAATTTTATTGATTAAAATAGAAAAATTATATTTTTGTTCCAGTTAAAGTTAATGACAAGTAGTGATAATTTGTTGAGCATTGATATGTAAGGCATTTGGAAAAAGTGCACATTCATTATGAAGTATAGTTTATTTAAAACTAAATGCAAAATGATAAGATTACTTGTGTAAATAGCATAATACATTAACAACAGATTTGTAAGATTAAACAGTACTGAGGACCCCTTAGTAGGATGGCAAATCCTAGAATGAGCTCTTGACATGAAATTTGAACAGTAGTCATTTTGGAACTTCAGCCATCTTCTTCATCTTATTAACAATCCCTGGCTTAGTTTTACATGTTATCCACTAGTGCATATTAGTCCTTTATTATAACCAAAAATGATTCAATTGGTCACAGTTGAGGTATGTTTGGAAAATTGTTTTCTTTGGGCACTAAATTGATTGTCCAAGTCAATTAGCTTTATTTAAGTCTGACTTGTATATTAAGCAGTGGCCAGACATACCTTTTATTGTTTGAGTAGTGCTTTTGAATATAAAAGACTTTTCTCTATTCATTGCACTCAGTTATAATATAACTGAGTGTAATAAAATGAGAAATGCCAAATTACAAGAAAAGATTGAAATGCACAAGGCAAAATTTGAACTAAAGTTGCCTTGTGCATTTCAGTTTTTTCTTGTAATTTGGTATTTCTCCTTTTATTACAAAGTAAACTGTAGTATGAGGAAGTAGGAAAGGATGATAATTCTTATCATCTATGATTAAACCAAGTGTGAAAGGAGCATCTCTGTCATCTTTGAAGACAGTGTGTAATTACTATTGTTGCCTCTACTCTTGACCTAGGTTCATTTCTGGTGCAGACTTTTGCCTCCTCACCACATATGCCATGCCAAGCCAGACTGTCTGCAAGTTTGGTGAAACTTGGATTTTTTGAAAATGCCTGTGAAAGTCAGGTTTTTCTAACTAAGTCAGATGAAATTTCCATTGTTACGAAAGATTTTATTCAACATAATGAATCATCAGCTATAGTATAAACAGAATAGATTCAGGAAGTGTAATTACAGGATGTGCTATGTGGCATGTTTATAAGGCAGCTAGTGGCAAATACCACTTTGACTAGTTTCAACTCATTTGCACAAGATGGAGTGCACATATTGATAATATTTACAATAATTTAGTGATATTCTAGGCTCTATATGTGTGTGTATATATATATATACACACACACACACAACTATAACACATCCATTGCTGGTTGATGAGATTTTGTATTACCATATTTTTGCAGATTAAATGGCATGCCAAATATAACCAGAAATCCCAGGTTACTGGCATGCTGTTTAAACTGATTAAAAAATAAAATTAATCAAAGCTAATAAAACTAGTTGTTAAATAAATGTTAAAGAAAACATTCTTCCCAGTACAATAAAATAACAACATTGTAATTTGACTGAGTTGCAGCCAAAAAGAGCTTTTGCTTACAGGGTAATAAAACAATTAGCAGCTTATTGACATTGTAGTAGTAGTCAGTATGGGCTGCACTGACAATCTGCCATGAAAAAGTTTTACCAGTACTACCCTGATGTTGGAAGGTAACACCTTCCTCTCAAATTTCACACAAAGCAGATGTTAAAATTTTTCTGATTTTATATGAAAAAATATATTGTCAATTTTTTATGTGAAATATTTTTATTATGTTTGTTAATTTTTTTTAAGGAGATTAAGATTTTTTAATGATGTAGCAAAATATATTGATANAACGATGCATCTTAAACTACAGATATTACAAATTCATTTTCTACGTGCTTTCCTATTTTTAAAACCTTTTTCATCAGTTCATAGATACTAGGGTTTCTCATTTCCCGGTCTTTTGCTTGTCCCGGGATCCCGGGATAAAAGTGAACTGTTTCCCGGGATCCCGGGAAATCCCGGGATAGAATTAATTATTTTTAAGGTGAAGTGAAAAATACAGATGCAGAAGGAAGACTTGTTTTAGGAGATGGGGTAAGAACTTTTAATTACATATTATATAATAAAAATTTTCTTTTATTTGAAAATAAACATTCACATTTAAGTAAACTTTACTTAAGTTTAAAGGCTTAATTTAATGGTTTTTTAATGAAATAATTTAAAATTTATGTGCAAGTAATATCTTACTATTGTTTAGTCACAAATGATATGATAAAGTGTTTATCAAATAACTGTTGTGTGAGCTTCTTGTAAGATTATTTAATTTTTTTATGAAAGTAATGTGTATCCTAAAGATTAGACTAAGATGATATTAAGCTACATATGATATATTAGAAGGATGATAGATTTAATCCAAAAAATGGCAGGGCTATAGTTTTACTAACTAATTGTAGGAAACTATGAGAATGCACAAATTTTTAACAGATGGATTGAAAAAAATGATTTAAAGACAAAAAAAATTCAGTTTGCATTTTTATCAAATAGTAGTATTGACAGCATTATTATTATTACTTTTATTTTTTTTCATGAAACATTGTATAGTTTACCTTATGTTATAAACATCATACAGTTTTTACCTTTTTTATGGACTTAAATGAATTATATGTCTCTGTTTCTATGTTAAAATTAGAATTGGAATTGTTAAAAATATAAAGCTGGTATTTGTTCAGATGATTGAATCATTATTTGGATCATATTTGGTTAGTTAGATGAGGAACATACAATACTCCTTGTTTTCAATTAAAAAATGGTCTACATATTTCCTGTTGCCATATATTTAATTTTTTTTTATTTGACTATGGAGGAGTTTTTTCTTCAAATAATGTTACTATAGAACAGGAAGTTATCCATTCAATAGTATATGCAGATGTTCTATTATTAGCTCCAACTAGAATTTATTTACAGGTAAAATAAATGCTATAAAAAATTGTGATAAATGGGGATAAAAAGTCTACAAAAGTTCTTTATTATGATTCAAGATGTAAGCTTTCAAAATTACAAGAAAAACTGTACACTGATAAAACTGAACTTCAAGTTAAAACACAGACAAAATATCTAGCTATCAGGATATCACATCATTCAGATTTAGTAAACAATTTGAATGTATTAAGAAAAGAATGAATGATCAAATTTTTTATTTATTTAAATGAGAGCCTAAAATTAAAATGCACAGCATCAAAAATGCAGTTCTGATTTGGGGCATGAAATACAGTGAACTTGTCTATCTTGAATTTTTGAGATAGGCAGGTTTCAAGATATAGAGGTTTCTACACAGTAAACAGTAATAGGTTTGATTGGAGATATTGTATTTAATAATAATAATACAATAGCAAGTACGGTACACACCTGTATTAAGTATAAATAAAACATTTTTGACATATCTTAACAGAAATAGTTTGTTAATAGTTTCCGATACCTGACTTTCTGCAACTAATAAGATGCAAGCCAAACTTCTAGTCAATCAGAGAAAAGCAGCATTAATTGCAACTATTTGCTGTATTGCAAGAACTATTTCTCAACTACAATTTATGCTATCAAAATGTAGTCACTGAGCTTTGAATTTGTAATTGGCACTTGAGTCCATAAATTGATATATAGAAGTTTTGGGAGAAAATTATTTGAGATAAATATGGAAAATATATTGTGTTTAGGTTGAAAAAGAGGTTTAGGGGATAAAGAGGTTTTTGAGATAAACATGTTTGATATAGACAGGTTCAACTGTATGTTGAGAAATTAGAATTTATTCAAAATAAATTTTTCAAATATTTTATATAAATTAGAATATGGTGTTCCTGATTAAGCAATAAGGTTAGCATTTAATTGTGTTATGCTTACTGTTTTATGGTCAGAGTAAAATTTTTTGAGAAAATTGTGACAAAATCATAATTGGATGCTATCTAACTTTCTTAAGGAATTAATGGAGAGATTTAGCAAAGTTCCTGGGAACTGGTGATATGATTTGTTTCAGATATTTTGCAGATATGGTTTATTGCCAGTTACTTTTATTTAAAAAGAATCTTTATGGAAAGGATCATTTAAAATTTTGGTTAATAATATAATTGACACTTCTGTTCTTGATGTACAAATTTTCTACTCATCATATAGGATATGATGATTTGCTGGCAGTGGGAGCCCTGGAATATCAAGTTCTTTGGAACAAGTGGAAGTTGATATTCCAGGGCTCCCACTTATTGTTAATCAAATTGTTTTTACACATAAAACTATTAATTTGACTAATAAAATCATGTGCACATTTGTCAAATTGTGATAGGATTTACCACAGTTTTTTTTATCAGGCTTGAAGTGACATTGAACCAGTATAAAGCGGCAATTCAATTTCCATCTTCTGGTACTAAAATAAGAGCAAGGTGGTCATTAACATAGCCTACTTACGTTAATGACCACCTCTCTCTCATTTTCTGTAAGCTGCACATTGCCCTTTCATTGGTAAGGCATAAATTATATCATTTCACATGTTCAGTACTTTGTTAGTAAATGATATGGATATAGTCATCTACAGTGTTTTTGTTAGGTTGCAGACCTGTCAACATCGAGGTTCGGGTTGGTAACTATTTAAGCAAAAATTGTCTAGTGCTCATTGTCAGTTATGTCTACTAACATAACTGAAAAGAACACTTCAATAAACTTAATATTGTATTGTGAAGACTAATATATTTAGTAGTGTCTATTCTCATAACTAGGGTTTCTCATTTCCCGGTCTTTTGCTTGTCCCGGGATCCCGGGATAAAAGTGAACTGTTTCCCGGGATCCCGGGAAATCCCGGGATATACAAGTAATATC